TATTTAAGTCAAAAAACTATACTAGTAATTTTTAACTACGTAACAGATATGGGATGCCTAAGTCTATGGTACCAAACTTTAACTTCTTAATAACAGACCGAAAAATGATTCTCAGTTGTAAATCTTGTTTTGAATTATTTGTAGCCATTAATTGTGAAAGTAATGAAACAAACTAAAACAACAAATAATAAACATTTATTATTTGTGATAGAAAAAAAGAAAGATAGGATACTAAAAAGTAACTTTTCCATAGCAAAATTTAATCTAGTAAGGAAGTTGTGATAGACCAAAGGGAATGCACATGCCTCGTTTATTTGTTTGAAAGCCATTAGTAAGCCTGTTAATGGATCGAATTTTGATTGTTCTGAATCTAAATTTAAAAGTTCTATCTGATTATCTGACATATTTTATTTTAATGGTTTAAATAGACTCATTCAACGGCCACCAACATTCCTCCAAAAAAACATTCATATTACATTGTGCCTTTAAATACGAATTACTCCTATTATATTATTAACACATTCGGTTTAAAGTCCACTAACAAACAATTGAAGAGACTCAAAAGACTCGTATTCTAGTTTAAGATACTCTGTCATATTAGACAGATTTTAACCTGATTTGAATGTCGTATCCCCCTTTTTAAGATGTAATGTGAGTGTGTGCACTTGCCTCTTTTTGCCCCCATAGGGATTCCTCAGAGCCAGAGCAAACAACCACCCAGAGGAGGAATGTGAGACAGCAGAACGATAGATTTACTTTCGCCATGGATCTCTCTCACTAAAATGGACCTGGATTTTGGTCTTTTTTATGGTGGGAGGTTTTGTTACCTTCACTGAATTTAAATAACAGAAAATTTGGATACTTTAATGTCAAGATTTGGATACATTAATTATGTTTGCCAAGATTTGGATACTTTAATTATCACATGTGGACATTATTAATGTCAAGATTTGGATAATCTATTAACCTTGTCATGTGAATCTTGTATATATTTCGTAATTTCTTTTTAGAATATGATACCGTTATTATTTGTGGTATTCCAAATATAATAAAATTACTTATTAAAATTTTTGATTTGTATCATGCAATTAGAAAAAACAGTAATAGTGAAGAACGAAACAGCTATAAATACTAAACAGTTACAGATACGAACAGAACAGTAACATAATACATTTATAATTTAAACAATGAATAAATTGACTTGTTTGCAGAACATGAACAGTTATTGAACTTTAAATAAATCAAAGTTAGTGTTTGACACTATATTATTGAGACATATTTCGCCTCCACATACGATGCTTTTAGAAATCAAAGCATCTGCCTCTCAAGATACAATGATCTTCACGCGAATAGAAGTAGCATTCCAATTTACTCGCCTAGTGAACCAGAATTATGTTGGATACTCTTCAGATGCAGACTGCCTTAATGCCGAAATGTAATGTTCTAATGCTTGCCTTAACTTCGAAAATGATTTTTTCAGAATGGTAATGAACTTGGACTTATATAAACAAACTGGTGACTGTTTCGGATAGTGACCATGCGAAAAGACACAACCTAGAAGACACATGTAGCTAAAAGACACCATTCAATAATTGTTCACTCTTGAACATATACAATTTAAATTCGGAACTGAAAGGAGCAATAATCTAAACCAGTGCGAATTTTAAATCCAATGAGTATCAAAATTAAATTTCGAATTAAAAAATTCACGCACAATTCGCTAATGAATTTTTTGCCTAAACCACACACACCCCCACACCCGAGCCCGAGCCTGAGCCTGCCTCGGTTGGATCGTGGCGAGGCGGGCGACAGGTGCGTGTTGTTGAACCGAAGGCATGTAGACGCATGCTTTGCTCAAAAAATTATGGTATCCCATGGGGCAAAATACCAGAGAGCAACCTTGGCCTATATATGCCCGTGTAGAATTTTTTTTTCAACCAATGTGTGATTGGTGTCAAATATCACATTGCACAATCTCCATTTTCACATTTTAAGAGGGTCACTTTGGAATTTATTTTCTCATTCATTTCTTACTTAATTTGGGTAAGTGAATAATATTCTCCTCACGGAGTAGAACACGAAACTATGAAAATTTACTCGAAACCACGAACAGGTTCCATTTTAATTTAGGCTTAAAGTCGACTAAAAATTCAATTTTTATACTTAAAAAATTATTTTGTTCTAACAATCTCTCACATGAAAGAAAAATTGGCTATTAGTATGCAAATAATAATGTTGACACATTATAGAGATCACATTTTTGGAAAGGTCGTGCATTGAGATAGGTATCTTTTGACCTTGAACCTTCCCTAGTGAAAGTCCATTGGATTTACCGGCTAAATAGTGAACATGATGTCTTGAATTATTCAGCTGTTTGATAATTCAGATTAAACAGAGTTCCCACAGTGTCTTTCCTAACGCAATTGATTCTCATCGTTGTGTTTGTTTTGACCTTGAACAACTTCTGGTTTTCATGAATACTTTAGAGAATTCAGTCTTTATAAATTCTCACAGAAGCAGTCCTTCACACCCATATAGGTGACTCCTGTTAGGAATATCCTGCAATATCCTACTTGGATTTCCAAGGTATAAAAGTCATTAAAAGTATAGTTTGCCCTAATAAACTCTGTAGGTAGCACTAGTTTATCATAAGAATAGACAAGAAAGATTATCTTCCTAGTGCTTCTTTTGAATTATGCATAATTTAGTTGTCCTTTTGAACCTAGATCTTGGGATCTCCAGTCAATTAGGTTGCGTTGCCATTAAAGTGACTCTCAAGTCATAGGCTTTAGCCCTATTTCCCTCGATGTATAATTTATCTACTCTCTCGTCAAACATTTGGTAAATGGATATGTTAGATTTTTCTTTGATTTTATATACTCAATAGAAATAATCTCATTTGAGAGCAATTGTCTAACGGTGTTATGTCTATGATGTATATATCTAGACTTATCATTGTACATGTCATTTTGTGCCCCAACAATTACAAATTGACTATATCAATGTATATAAATTGTTGACACAGGTTTATGCCATATTGGAATATCCTCTAGAAATTGGCGAAGCCATGCATCTTCTTCTCATATTTTATCTAAAACAATAAATTCAGATTCTATCGTGGATTTGAAAATAAACATTTGTTTAGAAGATTTTCAAGATACAACTGCACTACCAAGTGTAAAAACATAATCACTTGTGAATTTTATATCCTTTATATCAGATATCTAATTAGTATTACTATACCCTTTAAGTACAGTTGGATATCTTGTATAGTACAATCTAAAATTCAAGGTATATATTAAATATCTAAAAATCCTGATAATTGCCTTCTAATGGTCTAATACTAAATTACTCATATATTTACTCAATTTACAAATTGAGTATGCTATATCCGGACTAATGTAGCTCATGACATACATTAGACTGCATATAATACGAAAGTATTTCAATTGTGATATGTTTTAACTAGTATTTTTAGACAAACAAAGATTTATATCAACTAGTGTTCTAGCATTACTATTTTCATCTTTATCAAACTTTTATTTTTGGGAAGGGGAAGGGGGAGGGGGAGGGGGACTTGAATCCTTGACCTTAAGAAGGTAAATCTTTTACAAAACAAAGAGTATCATTGGACCAAAGGCCCATTGACATCTTTATCGAACTTCTCAAGTATTTTCTCAATATAATGTGATTGAGATTATATAAGTCTGCCACATGTTATATAAAGTTTAATTCCTAGCATAACATCTGCAACACTCAAATCTTTCACATCAAACTTACTAGATAATATTTTCTTAGTAGCTTTAATAAAATCATTATTACTATATAGAATAAGCATATCATCCACATATAAGTAAACAATGACATATCCATTATTTGACAATGACACAATTTATCACATTCATTAATTGTGAAACCATTTGACATCATTACTTTATAAAATTTCTCATGTCATTGTTTTGGTGCTTGCTTTAAACCATAAAAGTGATTTAACATGCCTACACATCTTCTTCTCTTGTCTTGGAGAAATGAATCATTCAGGTTGGTCCATATAAATTTTCTTATTTAAGTCACTATTTAGGAAAATTATTTTCACATCTATTTGGTGTACTTCAAGGTTATACAACGCTGGAATATCTATGAGCATACAAATAGATTTTATTCTCGTGACAGGAGAATATGTATCAAAGTAATCAATACCTTCTTTTTGCTTGTAACTTTTAGCTACAAGTCTAGCCTTGTACTTATAAATTGATCCATCAATTTTTATTTTCTTGTTGAAAAACTATTTATACCCCGATCGTTTACTTCCCAAAAGAAGATCTACGAACTCCCAGTTGTGATTTTGCATGATAAATTCAATTTCAATATTTATAGCTTTTTTTCACATAGGTACTTCAGGAGTGGACATCGCTTCATTAAAGCTTTGAGGTTTATTTTCTAACAAATATGTTAAAAAATCAGGACAGTAAGAGTTGGAAGTCCTTTACCTCTTATTGTGTCTAAATGTCTCTTCATTTTTTTCATCTATAGACTCATTATCTATATTACTAGTTGCAGTATCATGAATTCTTTTAAGAGAACTACCATCACATGTATTATTACTAGGAAATACATTTTCAAAAAATAATGCATTTTTAGATTCAATGATTGTATTGACATGTATATTAGGAATATCAGATTTATGCATGAGAAAACAATATGCACTACTATTTATTGCATAATTCATAAATATGCAATCAATGGTCTTTGGTCATATTTTGATCATTTTGGGAATATGAACCATCACTTTAGCCAAACACCCCCACACTTTTAAATATTTATAAGAATGACTCATGCCTTTCCATAATTTATAAAGGGTATTGTCTAACTTCTTGTGGCGTAATGTATTTAAAATATGGTTTGCTGAAAATAAAGCTTCCCCCCCCCCACAAGTTCTAAGGTAATTTGAACTAATCAACATGACATTCATCATCTTTTTTAATGTTCTACTTTTTATGTTTAGCAATCCCATTTTGCTGAAGTGTATAAGGAGCATAAGTTTGGTGAATAATATCATATTCTTGATAGAACTTATCGAAAGGTGTGTCATATTGACCACGTCGATTACTTTTTATTGCCTTATTTTTTTTTGCCAAGTTGATTCTCAACCTTATTCTTATAATGCATAAATTTTTCTAATGCTTCATCTTTACTCTTTAGTAAATACACGTAACAATATTTTATACAATCATAAATAAAAGTAACAAAATACTTCTTTCTACCTCTAGTTTAAACACATTTCAAATCACATGTATCACTATGAATTAATTCTAGAGGTTATGTACTTCTTTCAATATTATGAAATGATGCTCTAGTTAATTTTGGTTCAACACATGTTTCACATTTATTTGCATCAATATTGAATTTAGGCAACAATTCTAATTCATTAATTTACACAAAGTATTAAAATTAACATGTTCTAATCTACAATGCTATACATTAGAAGACTCAAACATATAAGTAGAAGATGTGTTCTTATTATTAAAATCAAATATAATTTTCATTACATTCATATAAGTATCAAAGTCTGGATATAGAACAATTTTGGCCTCCTTTTCCCTTCTACTGACCTCGGTTATAATATCTTCTAGACATAAACTAATTTTTGTAATTATGAATTCTTGAACTTGTCAAGAACCAAAATGAACATTGTTGGGGACTCAAAGCAAGCATACCTCCTCGGCTCCCAACACCTTCACAGCGGGCTGAAACATTAAGTGTTTCCCTCAGAGTTATCTAAAAAATGTGCAAGTCATCTTGCCTTATATAAGCAGAAATTTTTTGTGGCACAAGCTCTTCTAATTTGTATCCATTGTAAGAAATATCCCCTATAACCTGCTACACGATAGATGAACAAACCAAAACTATGGTAAGAAGTGATTATTTTTCATTTTTAACGTTTTGAAAGATAGAAAAGTAAGTCAAATCATTATCCATTTTCTATGCATGACAAAAAAAAATGAAATCACATTATTCAAGAACTTAGGTTAAAAAGTTCTCTCGACAATGCTAATACTAAATGAGAATGAACCGCTTGTAAAACATTTCTATTACTTGGAGTAATTAGGCAAAATGACTAGTAGAATCCAAATTTTACGAGAAATATGCACAACTACGAGAGAGGGAGGAGCTTTGCCATTATGCAAGATAGACGGACAAGATATTATCACCCAGAAACTAAAAACTTTGAGTGAGATTCTATACAGTATAACAAAGATTCCTTGATCCTTTTCACTGGTGAGAACCATATGTAAATTTACAAATCTATTGTATTATAGAATCCTTAAAGTAGTCATCATAGTGTTTATCTTAGATTTTCTAAGGTCTTATAATCATGAAGATGAAGTATATAGGAAATAGGAAACCTTGAGGGATTTTCTTAGGTTCCTGAAAGTGCTTTCAATAAGGTGGTCTTTCCGCATCCTGGAGGACCAAGCAATCAGGTCATTCTACAACAAAGATTAATCTACTTAGGTAAGTGGCATGACAAGGTCATAATAAAGATATATTTGTTGCAACCTAGGGAAAAAAATTTTATTACATAATGCACAATTGCAGCCCAAGTATTATGAATTATGCTTTGTTAAGTTGAATTGAATAAACTTAAAATCAAGAAATAGCTTCTGTTTCCTACCTTCTAGGTTTAATGATGCCACTTGCATCATTAAGGATGCTTATTTTGGTCTCTTGCATCACCAGGAAGCTTGGCATAGTCCTGTGGAACAAAACATCGCATATGAATTTGGAAAATCATGATAACAAGAAGGGAGCAACATAATAAGAATGGATCCAATCAAAAAACATACAAAAGGATGCTTTAGGACTTCACACATCAGAGGTTATTCCCTCATCAGTTTTAACAATGGAACACTGCTAAAACAAGATGGAAATTATATTTTTTTCTTTGCAATTTCCTTTTTGTTTCATTTATACTTGTGTGCGTGTGGTTAGTTTGTGAGATCCTGGTGTCCCACATCGGCTGTACGGGGACGTGCAGCCCTAAGGGGGTGGATTGTGAGATCATGGTGTCCCACATCGGTTAGGGAGGGTAAAGTGACTGGGCTTATTAGTAAGCCCCTTACCTTACATGGCATAAGGCCTTTTTCTAGGAATACTGGGAGGAACAAAGTCGTGAGGGTCAGTGGGTCCAAAGCGGACAATATTATGTCATGTGGAGGGGGGGTGTTACAAGTTGGTATCATAGCCGACTCTCGCCTGGATTGAGTGTGGGCGCCTGACGTGCTCGAGTGTAGTTGGCGGGTAGGTAGCTGGTGAGTTGCTGCACGGGGACGTGCAGCCCTAAAGGGGGTGGATTGTGAGATCCTAGTGTCCCACATCGGTTAGGGAGGGAAAAATGTCTGGGCTTATTAGTAAGCCCCTTGCCTTACATGGCATAAGGCCTTTTTCCAGGAATACTGGGAGAAACAAAGCCGTGAGGGCCAATGGGCTCAAAGCGGACAATATTATGCAATGTGGAGGGGGGTGTTACAAGTTGGTATCAGAGCCAACTCTCGCTTGGATCGAGTGTGGGCCCCTGACGTGTTTGCGTGTAGTGGGCGGACAGGTAGCTGGTGAGCTGCTGCACGGGGACTTGCAGCTCTAAGGGAGGTGGATTGTGAGATTCTGGTGTCCCACATTGCTTAAGGAGGGTAAAGTGACTGGGCTTATTAGTAAGCCCCTTGCCTTACATGGCATAAGACCTTTTTCCAGGAATACTGGGTGGAACAAAGCCGTGAGGGCTAGTGGGCCCAAAGCGGACAATATTATGCCATGTGAAGGGGGGGTGTTACATAGTTGGGGGAAGGTCAATTATACACCAAAATGGATTTATTTGTCATCCTATAAGAACAAAGTCTACCCTATATTTTCTATATGGTTCATCCACACATGCATTTACAAAATACACACTCCACACAAGAATAGAGCCATGATTCTACCTTTTATATTGGGGAGGAGACGGGGGCATGATTAAAAAAATTACCAATAGATATAAGAAATGTCTACATTTAAGCATGAGAAATATCGTAGGATTCAAGACCAAATTACTTTTTGGAGAATTAAATCAGTATCAATAATATACCAAACCAAATACATTGTTCTTGTACATCCAATAAATCTTCAATAATTGATTCTAACCTAAATTTCTCAACCATTGTCTTTCAATGCATACAATAGATAGTACACAATAAAATTATCATTCATTTTGTTGTGAAACCTAGCTTACATCATCCTGTAAGAAATTTTAAAGATTCGTATATGGAATCTAGAACTCCTACATTCAAATACAAGATTTAGATCATATAGGTTTAGATCATACTTGTATGAGTCATGATATTTGACCTTTGTATTTTTTTCTTGAAAGGGCAAGGTCTTCCTCTCCTTCTTCAAAGCAATAAGCGGTTCTCAATGGGACAAGCCAAATTAGGGTTATGAAGTAAAAAGGGGACCTAGCTTGCTATTTATAATGAAATCTAATGGGCTCTCCCATTACGGGCCACAATTAGATTAAGACTTACACTTAACTGCCTCAACCACATCAATTAAAAGATGTACATAGACCCATAAAAATAGATCACTTAATAATATTGAGCTCATCATCTCATTGGACGATAAATTCAGCCCGTTTTTCACAAACTAAAAATTAACTATCAATTAATAAAAGTCCAATATGGGAAAATTTCAACATTCTCCTACTTAGACAACATTAGTTGTAGTCATTTAAAAATAAAATAAAATAATATATATATTTTTAAAAATGACTCTTGGGCTAATCAAACAAAACTCAATGTGGTTACAATAAAAATAATATGGTCCTGAGACAATATTTCAAACACAACCTGATCCAATAAAACTACTATTTTCAAACTATGGCGGTCTTTACATCCTTTATTGACATAAGACCAATCCATAATTACAAAAAATAATAATTCTATTGACATGGATCAAGATGTGGCAGTGCAGCAAGAAAATAACATCTCAATGTGTGATTTGATAAACATGCTATTTTCATTATCGGTACTCCAAATGATTTCTCTTTAACAATATGCTTTAACAATAAACTAGAGAAATCCATTAGCTTCAACAATAAGCTAGTATGTCTCCAAACTTAAAATAACAAGATTTTATCAAATACTGTAATCACAGACATACTCAATTGACAAAATAATCATACTTAAGATATACACCAAGTCTTAAGATTTTGTATAAAATGACATGTCATAAATGTGTACACATATAACATAGCAAGAATATCATGCTAACAACAAGGATAATCTTCAAATATTTATTATTCATCAAATAGATGTATCTCAACTATAATGAGTATCAAATATCACATATGGAATTAAATCAATACTAAAGTTCTTAACACATAAATAAACTCCCACTAACCAAGTACATCAAAAGACCCCAAAATGCCCATGTTGTCAACATGTTTCTTAAAAGTTACATGTCTCAGTCCCTTGGTTAAATGATCAACAAACATTGATTATGTATCAATATGTTTGATCACAATGTCACTTTTCTTCACAAGATCGCTAACAAAAATATATTTAACTTCCTTACGTTTAGACCTCGTAGAATGCTTGTTGTTATTTGAGAAGAACACAACTACGTTATTATCACAGTAAATTATTAGTGGTCTAGAGATGAAATCAACAATCATAAGTCCTGAAATAAAATTTCTTAGCCATATAGTTGTAGTTCTATAACAAGCTACAAATTCAACTTGTATAGTGGAAGAAGTTGTGAGAGTTTGTTTAACACTCTTCCATGATATTGCTTCTCCAACTAACATGAAAATATATCATGAAGTGGATTTTAAATCATCTTGACACCCAGCAAAATCTGAATCTGAGTAACCAATCACTTCAACACCATCAACTCTCCTATAAATAAGCATGTAATTTTTTATTCTTTGCAAGTATCTCATAAATTTCTTAGTTGTCACTCAATGAACTAATCCTGGTTTGGAAAGATATCTGCCAAGAACACTAATTGCAAAAGCAATGTATGGCCTGGTACAAACTTGTGCATACATTAAACTACCAACAACACTCGTATAAGGTATATTCTTCATAGACTCCTCCTTAAGATTATTCTTGGGGCATTGGCTTAGACTGAATTTATCGCCTTTCACAACAGATACATCCCCAAACTTACATTATACGTATTACATCTTTCAAGCACATGATCTATATATGTCCTTTGAGAAAGTCCCAAAAATCCACGACTTCTATCCCGATGAATAACATAAAAGATGCTTCCCCAAGATCTTTCATGTCAAATATTTTGCACAACAATTGCTTAATATCATGAAATAAACCCAATCATTACTTGCAAGAAAAATATCAACATAAAGAACAAAAAAAATAAATTTGCTCCCATTGACCTTAAGATATATGCATTGATCCATCTAGTTCTCAACAAAACTAAGAGAACTTACTATCTCATCAAATTTCAAGTACCACTAACGAAAAACCAGTTTGAGACCATAGATAGACTTCTTCAACTTGCAAACTAAATATTCTTTACCACTCTCCTTAAAACCCTCAGGTTGCATTATATAAACAAGCTCCCACACTTCATTGTGTGCTATAAAATACATCTCATCTTTCATTACACCTACCCATTTATCAGATTGAGAATAAATAATAGCATCATAGTATGTTACAGGATCAACAATTTCACAATCACTTTCTCAAAGATATACATA